TCGGTAGATGTAGCCCGTCCTAGACCGTCGATTTTCGCTGTCTCCCGCGTGGTCGGCGTCGACGTATCCGAGTAGTCGTACGGACGGTGTTGTTGCCTTGCTGTAGGTGAGCCCGATCGTCGGCGTGGAGACGAAGTAGAGTAGCGCTCGATTGAGTTCTTCGAGATCTTCCTGTTGCGGCTGCTTCAGATGTGTCGCCAGCTGACTCGCACTATAGGATAGGTCGGGTCGGCAGGTTACTGTTGCGAATAGTAGGCAGCCGAGCTTCTGTTGATACTCCTGGATTTGTTTCGCGGGGAGTTTTGTGGAGGCGCTACTGTTGTTCCCGTAGCGGTAGGGAGTTGGGACCGCAGTCGGTGTTAGACCGAATTTCTTCGCGACGGTGCTTGAGTACTTTCCAGCGTGTAGGTAGAACGCCGTGTCGTCTTCGACGACGTTCAGTCCTAGGTACTGCGTCACCTCGTCGGACACCGTGAGCGTTAGGTCCCTTTTCAGCTCCCCTTCGAACCAGGTGACGATGTCGGTGGTAGAACCGATGTAGAGCAGGTCGTCGACGTAGACGATGAGCAGAATGTAATCTCTTCCCTTCTGTAGTCGGTACATGCCTTGGTCATGTGGTAACTGTAGGAATCCGATTTTTACGAGCCGGCCGTGAAGGTGCTGCTGCCAGAGCCGTGGGGCTTGCTTGATCCCGTAAAGGGATTTTTCCAGCTGGCATACTTTTGAAGGGTCGTCGATGAATCCGTGGGGTTGTTCGACGAAGATTTCGGCGTCCACAGGTGCGTACAAGAAGGCGTTTGCAACGTCGATTTGCCGTAGTGGTAGTTTCTTCGTGGCCGCGATGGCGAGTAGGATGCGCAGGGAGGTGTGACGGGAGACTGGAGCGAAGGTTTCTGTGTAGTCGGTTCCGTATCGTTGATCGAAACCTCGTACGACCCATCGAGCTTTGAATCGTTCGATGGAGCCGTCTGAGTTGGTCTTGATGCGGTACACCCATTTCCCCGAGAGAATGTTCTTCCCGTTGATGCTCGTTGCAGGTACCAGTTTCCATGTTTCTCGGTCTTGCAGAGCTTTTAACTCTTTTTCCATCGCTTCCTTCCATTGTGCCTTATGTTCCCCCCCCAGAGCCTGCGACAGGGTCGACGGCTCGCGCGGAGAAGGCGGCGGCGGGTGCTGGACGGAGACCCATAGTCCTAGGATCTGCAGTCCCGTGGCTGTGTGTCGAGGGGAGTTTTCATTCTCGGGATAAGCTGCTTCATCACCGTCTTCAGGATCGGGTAAGAAGTTTGGCCCGATGCGTTCGGAAATATTCGAGTCGACGGGGTGTGGTGTAGCGTAGCCTTGGTCAGCGAAGTGGTAAAAGGTGTCGAGGTTGTTGCTATCGAGGGGATTATCTTCATCGAGTGGAACAGGTACGGAGCAGTAGGGGAGTGGTCCGGCAGCCTCCGAGGCTCCAGGGACGTCTTCTTCTGCTGCGTCAGCCTCGGCAGCATGGTCAGCGAAGGAGCGAAGGCCCGCGAAGCCGTCGGTGGGGTCGTCTGAGTTGGCAATGTTGTCCAGGTAATGCTGCAGCGTCAGTCGCTCGTAGAAGATAACATCACGTGATGCCACCGTATTTTTGTCGTGTATGTCGAGAATCTTCCACGCGTGAAAATGTTTGGCGATGCCGAGGTGTAGTCCCCACCGAGCTCGTTGAGTGAAGCGTCCTGCTCGAGCTGTGTGGGGTCTGTATTGTACCATGCAGCCGAAAACTCGAAGTAATTTTGTGCTGCCCCTTTTTCCCGTCCACAGCAGGTGCGGTGATGCGTTGTTGGGGAGCGATGACGAGGACAACAGGTTGTGCAGGTGGACTGCATGTGTCATCGCGTCTGGCCACAGTGTATTGGGCAGTCTCATCCCCAGGAGCAGCTTTCGCATCGTCGTCTGCAAGGTCCGGTTCATGCGTTCGGCGACCCCCTGCTGCTGGTGAGCGTATGGTAGGGACACCAGGCGCTTGATTCCTCTTTCCGCCAGATAGGTCCTGAAGCGTTGTGACTGGTATTCTAGGGCACCGTCTGACTGGAAGCTTTTGAGCTTGGTTCCTGATTCCCGCTCGGCGATGGGGAGCCATGTTGTGAAGGCGTCGAAGGCTTGATCGCGCGTCTTGAGGTTGTAATGCCAAGTGTATCTTGTTGCTGCATCGACGAAGGTGATGACGTAGTTGAAGTCGGCTTCCGTGTCGTCTCGAGGCATGTTCAAGATGTCGCTGTAGACTTTTTCCATCGTTGCATATGCAGGCGCGCTTGGATTATGATGGGATGGGAAGGGTTGATGAGGAAGATCTGCTTCGGGGCACGTGAAGCATCGTGCTCTTGGTCGGCGAAGTTCTTGGCCGCTCGTCGTTAGAAGGGCGTTACGTTCTAACACCTCTGCTTGGATTGTTTGAAGTATTGTGCTGTTTGCAGGGTGTCCGAGGCGTTGGTGCCAGATGTCGTCGGGAGCACGGTGACCGGGCGAGCGGTGGTAGATGTCGGCGTTGGAGAAGAACGCGACGACCGAGGCGGGACTTCGACAAGCTTCTCGTGTGGCGGGCATAAGTTGGTCTGCCTCCGTTGGCGGTCCTCGTGTTGATGGTGGTGGTACTCGGCTGGGTCCTGCTGCCGATACTGCAGGTGATGGTTTTGTTGGGACACTTGCGGGTACTTGTCTTTCTTGTCTGATAACTGCTAATGCTCGTGTTCTCTCTGCTGCAGGTATGGTGTTGGAGTGCCAGAAGCCGTCACTGTCGAAGTCGGGATCAAGATCCGGCGGGTGAGTCCAGGCGGCGAACGATACGATGCCATCGCTGTCGGCAGTTCCGCGGTCGGGGACGAAGTCCAACACGAAGACACCGGACTTCAGGAGGGCACGACCGATGAAGAGGCCGCCCTTCCCGTGGTAAAGTCGGAACTCGTTGGAGAAGGAGTCGCACTCCAGGTGAATCCCCTTAGCCATTAGTTGGCTTACGCTTAGTAGGTTGTATCCCAGATTGTCGACGATGAGGACTTTGTTGAGCTGAAGAATAACGTTTGTCTCCATTGATTGTAACTGAACCACGCCTTGTCTGTTTGTTTTCAGGTTTTCGTTGTTGGCGACGGTGATGACGACGTCGCGGTTGAGGCGTCGCTCGTGTTGTACGAAGCGTCCGGAGGAGCACATGTGCTGACCGCAGCAACTGTCCAAGAACCAGGTGTTCCGCCCGGTGGGTTCGGCGTTAGCGACTGCAGCGTATGTCGGGTTGACCTGAAGTCCTTGCGAGCGCGGCGGCGGGAATTCCTCTTCGTCTGGTGCGTAAGTGGGTGGTGAAGCGGGGTGCGCAGTTGTCGATGTGTACCATGCAGTTGATGATGTTGGGTGTTTGTTCTGCAGATGTTGAAGAGCGCCTTGGAGGACTTTGCTTGAGTGGAAGCGACTTGTGGGTCTGCTGCACGGTAAACGCGAGGGCGGTTGCAGTTGACCTTGGAGTGCCCGGAAGTCTGACAGTTGTGGCAGAACGGCGGCACGATGGTGAGTCCTCGGTTGTCGCGTTGATCTTGCTTGCTGGCGTCGGTTGTAGTTGTTGTCATTTCTTCTTTGAGTGTAGAAGACTAACTGCTGTTGCTTCCTTGGTTGTCTTTCCTCGAACAGATCCATCTCCTGTTGTTCAGCGTGAAGCTCGGCGCAGAGGTGCATCTCCGAAATTCTTCCGTGGGCTCGAAGAAGTGATCGTGTGGTTCTCCATTCTGGCCCGAGCCCGGCGAGGACAAGTGTCACGAAGCTTTCTTCAGTGATCGTTCCTCCGCACCGAAGCAGGCGGTCGCGGAGGGTCTGGCAGCGACTCATATACTGCATCGCCTTTTCCCCGGTCTTCATCTGTATTGTTGTCAGCTGTTGCATGAGTCTGCTTTGTGTCACGCTGTCGTTTGCTTGGTAAAGGCACTTGAGGTGGTGCCATGCGAGCTCCGCGGAGTTTCCATAACTCCGATACGTTCTGATGCTCTGCTGCTCTTGTGGTGACAGGTTTCTCAGGAGTACCGTGTACGCCAGCAGCGACTGATACGTGAAGATCTCTTGTTCCTTCCAGTGCCGTTGCTTGGGAATGGCAGGGACCCGTTGAAGTATCCCAGAAGATGCGCGGCCTCCATCAGCAGCTCGAACTCGAAGCTCCAGGTAAAGAAGTCGTGTCCGTTGAACGGTGATGATGTCTGCAGTTTAATCACGTGTGAAAACTGTGCCTGGAGACTTAAAATCTCGTTTGGTGTTTGTTGTGATGCAGCTGCTGTTGGTTGGGCACGGGGCGGCATGAACTCGAACGTCCCCGGTGAAGAGTGATAAGGCGCAAAGGTAGGCGCTTGATTGTGTCGCCCGAAGGATGAGTTGTCGAGGCTCATCGGCGCTAATCCCATATTCCCTCCATTGCTCTGTGTTGAGTGCGCAGGTGTCCTTGTCTGCTGCTGCTGATCGAAGTGTGACATGAAGCTGAAGAATCTCTCCATGAGATTCGGGTCCACACTTGAAGAGGGAGACGGAGTCACCATCTCTGGTACTCTTCCCGTTGTTTCTTGAGTAGTCCCGGTCTCTGTCTGCAGTCCTGAGGTGTGCAGACCAGAGTTGCCGTGTTGAGTTTCTTGGGCGCTGGGTGAGCCCGTAGAGACTTTCTTGCCCTTGTTGTCCCATGTCTTGTAATCAATGGAGTTGTTGAATCAAGTTGAGTTGCAGGTCGTTGATGGAGCGTAGTTGCTGGGAGTTTGGTCTCCGACCAGCTCTCATACCATGTTGGGGCTGAGAAAAGCCCTTGGGATCTTTTGCAGAGACTAAGTCCCAGCTGTAAAGACTTGAGACTTGGAGTAGTGCAGCGGAAGTTGAGACGGTTGAACCCTTGTACTAGTATGTGAGAACAAGTGATTGATTGAAGAAACAAGCATACAGCAATATATAGAAGATAAGAAAGCAGTTGTAGAATACAGTTACAGGAACGGTTTATCGAGTCGCACAGCGACTCGATTGGCCGCTTCGGTTACCATCCGTGATGTTGTAACGGTCAGTCGCAACCTCCAGTTGCGACCTTTCGAGTCCTTTCGCATTCTTTGTCCGCCCCCTCGTGTAACCTCCGTTGACTCGCGTGCTCCCCTGTAATCTTCCTCGAGTACAGTGTTACACTTCAGAAACGCTTAAGTCCTTGAGATATTTCCAACAAGTGTGAAACATACAGTTACGACTTTTTCATGTCAATATTTCCATCACTCCACACTGATTTAGAACTTGCCAGCATTCAACTGCAATGGACCAAACCGTGCTTCAACTCGCTCCAAGTTTCTCTGCTGCTTTCGCAACTGTGTGTTTCACGCCCATATTGCCGCCCTCATGCTTATTTTGCTCCCATTCTGGCATGCTGTATAAGTTAAACCCTGTCCCCTGAAAGTATAGATTCTGAATGGGGCTCCTCCCTTGTACCACTCTTTGTGTCTACCTCCCCCTTCCTGACAGTGTCCCTCACTGCCTCCAACCACTAGACGCACGGACAGTCTAAACCCTTTGGGCAGTGGCTGGTAGATGAGGAAGTGGGACACATAGTGGGTCACAAATACACTGACAAAATAGGACCAGAGAACAGGTTTTAGATTTCCGCAGCGCACTCCAGACCAGTGCACCTGACCACAAAAACATGGTGCGCTTTCTAATCGCTCTGAAGAAGGCGCCCACCATCTGGGAGGCACGGGCAAAAATCCACTCGCGGGTGTCTTCCCACCCACTCTTCACAGAGATGCTTTTGAGGCCCCCCACATTCAGACAACCGTTACTCCCTGCTACACAACCACAGAGTTGATCGCCTTGAAAGAAGGCGCCCACCACTTGGGCGGCACGGGCAGGAACCCGCCGACAGCTGCCTTCCCACTAGCCTTGGGAATGGCAAACAACAGAAACGCTTTGGCCGCCGCACCGCCAGGCACCTTCTTCAGATTCTTCTTGATAAACGAATACTGCATGGAGACCATCGGCGGCGCCTTGGCATTCGTAGTCCAGATAAGGTCGACCTTATCCCAGGACTTGTCCGGGCCGGGAACCACCGTGGGGAGGGCGATAATGGGGTTCCAGCTGTTCGAAAGCACGGCAGCGCCGGCTTTGTTTTTCAGCGCGACTTCCGCCACTCCCCTCGCCTTCTTGCACCCGCCAGTATGTGAATACCCGATGCTGTTGGGCGTCGCGGCGATCTTAGCGCACATCTCGTTGCCAGTCGCAGCCGGGACTATGCCGGCGTACGTGAGTGGCTTTCCGGTGGTATCGCCGCTGGCCGGGTAACCCGCGCCAGCTTCACCCACGTCTGCTGAATAATCGCCGTCGTCGCGACCTTGGTGCTGCGCCCGATCCGCGTGATCGCTCCAGTGAGCTTCGCGCGGCGGCGGCGGGAACGTCGCCCCATGACTTGATAGTGCCGTCGAAAATCTGCAGCGACTGCTGCGCTGTGAGAACGAGCGGCTTCGCTCCCGCGGCCTTTGTCACGAAGAAGCTGTACGTGACAATAGCGAGCGGGACCGTGATCTTCGGGATTGTCGCGATCTCCTTGTCCGCGCTGATTGGCTCCGAGGCCGCGCCGATTAAGTAGGTCCCGTTGTAGAATCCCGCGATGCCGTTACTGGAGCTGGAGGGATCGTAGGCTCCGAATCGGAGCGCGGGCTTGGCTTGCTTGTTCCAATCTGCGATGAGCGCGTTTGCCACCTGCGATAATACGAAGATACATCGAGCATGAGGGGTTTAGCGGCTTGTGGGATGTGCGTCCGCGATAATTTGGAAGAGAGAAAGTGGTTGCTTTGTTCACGGATTATCGAAACGCAAAATTGAAAAGTACGTGCAGCTGGCATCAGCATTTAGGTTTCAGACGAAAACTCACCGGTTCCAGAGGCTGCGCGCCGCCCCATGCCTTCGCAATTGCCGCCGTGGAGCAGGGGATTAGCACCGACAGAGCCAGAAAGGCCAATGCAGCGTGGTAGACCCAAGCACGAGCCATTTTCGCCGTTTCTGGTTGGTACAGGACGGACGAGTAAAGCAGAACGAATCCGCCTGCTCTTCTTGAAGCGCAGAGGTGGCTGCTCTGCTGCCAAAGCGAGATGTTGCAATCGCCGACGAAAATGCGACGATGTTATACTGGAGAGTGTGAGACTGATCGGGAAATGATTCCCCTTTTATCCCCAACAGAAGGACCATCGGGGAGAGAGTGTTGAAAACACCAATCCAGCTCAAAATGTCTCGGATCAGCGAATTTCCGTCGAGATCGAGTCGCGCGAGGCCCCGCGACTCGGTGATGGGCTGGGTTCACTTGCCCTTATCGCAGCGCACATTTCCCGAGTCCACATTCAGGTTATCAGTCTTCAGTGGAAATGCGGTATCCACGTGCGCCGCCGTATTTGTCCACGCGGACCATGTAGATTGGTGACAGTGTAGGTCACTCGTGTGGGTGATGTCCCCCAGAGAATGTGCCAGATCAGCGAGGGGTGAGTGGTTTGCCAAAGCAGTTTGATTGGCTGTGGACCTCCGCAATCAAGCCCACTGAATCGAAATGCTGCGTCGATCTTGGATCCTGTTGCTCAAATTAGTTACACTGAATCTTGGCCGCGGAACTTATGGAAATATACATAAGCCTTCGGCTTTTTGTTTCCAACAAACTGCACTCCTCTTCGTCTGTGTACTCCGTAAACGCGATGCATTTCCTAGTGAACATACTGGTTCGAGATGACAAAAGCGATGTGGTGGTATGCGAAGTGGGGCTTTGTTGGGGGGAAAAGGATATGCTAACATCTGTAAAATACAGAAGCACTCTATAGAGCGAAGTACGGTTGAATCTGCTCGGCTGGTAGCAATGAAACGAGTGGTTGGAGCAAACCCGCACCTTCTTCGGACTTAGGTGTTGGAACGCAAAAGCCAACACCAAGTACCTGATATCGAAGGACGTTCTATGGAGGATTGCGACCCAGCTCAGAGAAAACATGCAATGAAGACGAAGTGTTGTGTGAAAAGAAATGGAAGCCGAATGAGTGAACCTCAATTTATACACGAAGCTGTGTCCCTCCAGTAGCTTTGGGTGGGTGGCTTGGCTAACTGATTTCTTCGCGGGGGGAGAGGGGAAGAGCACCCCAGGACCAACCCCCCTGCGCGAACCAGGGAAAACCCTTCGGGGACCAAACGAACGGCTCAGAAGTTATCACGAACGGTTATGCGAACCCGGACGACAAATCCCGACCGAAATTGCTGCCGATCTGGCACTCGCATCTCGCGGCTCCGCCCCTACCTATCGCTCCAGGAGATTCCTTATCAAAATGCGCGGCCCGGCGGAATGCTACCAAATGCAATGTTTCTCAAATCCGGGTTTCAAGCGTGCGGCGATTTTTGCATGCGGAAGCACAGAAACTCATTCCGATAGGCTGGAAAGGCGCGGGAAAGCCGATAGACCCTCAGTCGTTCTTGGTGAACGATCTCTCCTGGTCTCCTTATCTTTGAGATGAGAGGCTCTTATTCCGCACGTGTGTCAGTCAGCTCGTTTCCGTGATACGCCCTCTCGAGACACAAGCATCTTATGTCGGACACATTCGTTGCACTTCGGACACATATTCAACGGTTGAGCTGCTTGTCTCGATGGGCACGAAACGAGACGAGCCCTTATTCCGTCCGCCTCGCCATCGGACGGCGCGCCGCTGGACAAATAGATTTCTGCCACGTCACCAGGCGTACGTGCTGGAGATCACCTTCTCTCCACCGTCCAATCGCTGCCTTATCCTATTCCCTGTAGTCGTTATCAACCACTCCGCTTTCCTTCTCCTCTCCCCCCTTCTCCGCTCCCCTCTCCCTATCCCCATCCCCCCGTTCCTCTCTTTTCCCCTCCTCTTTTCTCCTCTTGCATCTTCCGCGTTTTGCTGAGCCTGCTGTCAGCTAAGCAGCATTGGATCTACTCTACCACTGGTTTGGAATCCCAATTTTTGGTGATGCAGGCGATTACTAGCATGGTGTGCAAAGCGCTTACGAATCACGGATGTTACATACGAGGGCAGATTGCCAGCTATCATGCATGTACAGTGCGTTATGCTGGTAACCACATTACCACATATGAGGAAGTAACCACCCCAAGCGGGACGGCGTAGAAGATGCAACCAGTTATGCCAGTAGATGTATCATTCGTCACTGGCTAAACGGATCAAAGCATGCATTTACACGTGTCACGTCAATCGATGGTGCATTATTATTGAGTTAAGCAGGTCAAAAACATCCCCTGCATGTGTTTCAGCGCACCTCGAGCTGCTCTTAGCGTCTCCATGCTCTTGCAAAAACGCCACGCGAACATAACGATGCCTGAGCTGGCACGACTGGATTGGTGCTCGGCTCTACATGCCTGTCAGCGCTATCAGGTGGTTGATCAGGTGATCGAGCAGGTAGCTGGTCAGGTGGATGGTCAGGTGGTTGGTCAGGTGGGTTTGGACTGGGAGAATGGGGCCGGGTGGAAGAATATTCGACCAGGGACGAAGGCCACCCCACAATCCTCGATCACCCTCCTGCAGAACTCCAGCTGGGGGAGTGAGGAGGGAGAGAAAGAAGGGGAGAGGGAAAGAGGAAGGGGGGAAAGCGAGGAAGGACGGGAGACAAGGCTAGGTGGAATCTTTTCCGACCAGGGACAAAGTGACCCCGCAATCCTCCATCGCCCTCCTGCAGAACTCAAGCTGGGGAGGTGAGGGGAAGGGAGCAAGAGGGGGGGAAACGGGGAGAGCGGGGAGATGGGATTGAAGACACAGGCTGGAACTACCCACACTCCTGGAGTCGCCATGTGCAAAAGTGGTTATGGAGGGAGAAAGAGAGAGAGAGAGAGAGAGAGAGAGAGAGAGAGAGGAGAAGAGAGAGAGAGAGAGAGAGAGAGAGAGAGAGAGAGAGAGAGAGAGGGGGGGGGGGAAGATGGAGAGATGGAGCAAATAGCGTGAGAGGAAGGAAAAAGGTCACAACCAATTGATTTTCGAGAACACTAGAAACATCGAGGAGAAATACGGAAGCAAAATCATTTTGCAGGAAATGCAAAAAATGAGGAAACAGACAAAACCGAAGGGTGATGGCAAGAGGTTTTAAGGCACTTTCAAAAGCAAGGAGCAATAGCTCTCTAGATCGCGAGGTGACTTTTGAGTCGACTCAAAAGTCACCAAGCAAGAAGAAACAACTATCTAGATCGACAATTACCCACATTGTCAACACCCACCGCTCACATCGTCAACACCCCACTGCTCACATCGTCAACACCCCACTGCTCACATCGTCAACACCCCACCACTCACATCGTCAACACCCCACTGCTCACATCGTCAACACCCCGCCGCTCACATCGTCAACACCCCACCGCTCACATTGTCAACACCCCACTGCTCACATCGTCAACACCCTCCGCTCACATCGTTAAACCCCATCGCTCGGAATGCGTGCGAAGACAAACACGGAACCCTCCGGAACGAGGGGCACCTCCAGCCCTGCGTCCAGCAGCATTTGCCACTGCCATGTCTCGCCTAGCAGTGTAGTCCTGGTGTGAGCGATGGGAGACAGAAAAAGCACAGTAAGGGTTAACAGGAGCATGACATGAGAACCTCCAGCCATGCTCCCAGCAGCACGGCCACTGCCACGTCTCGCCTAAGGGTGTAGCCCTGGTGGTGGGCGATAAGAACCGGAGCACACGCACAAGAGAGCACAAATAGATGACAATGACAACACACGTGCTCCAGCAGCATCGCCACTGCCATGTCTCGCCTAGCAGTGTAGTCCTGGTGATGGGCGATGGGAAACAGAGCGGACATAGGAGGGGTCAAGCGGATTATAATCCTAAGGGTGTAGCCCTGGTGGTGGGCAATGGGGAACAGAGAGGGCACAGGAGGGGGCAAAGGGATAACCACAAGAGGAGGCACTTCCAGCCCCGATCTCAGCAGCATGGCTGCTGCCATGTCACGCCTAAGGGTGTAGTTCTGGTGGTGGGCGATGGGAAGCAGAGAGGGCACAGGAGGGGGCAAAGGGAGCATGAGACAAGGCACCTCCAGCCCTGCTCCCAGCGGCATGGTCACTACCATGTCTCGCCTAAGGGTGTTATCCTGGTGATGGGAGGTGGAAACGGAGGGACGAGGGAAAGGGAGCACACACACAAGAAAGCACCAAGGGATGCTGACGACAACACATGTGTTCCCAGCAGCATGGCCACTGCCATGTCATGCCTAATGGTTTCACGTCCTGCTAGACGAATTATGAAAAACAGAAAAGTGCATAGGAGTGGGCAAAAGGGATTAAAGCGGAGGCACCTCCAGGCGCCCTTCCAGCAGCATGGCCACTGCCAAGTATCGCATAGTGGCGACCATCCTGCTAAGCAGCATCGCCTCTAAGCAGCATCGCCTCTAAGCAGCATCCTCTAAGCAGCATCGCCTCTAAGCAGCATCACCTCTAAGAGCAGCGGCCTCTAAGCAGCATCGCCTCTAAGCAGCATGCCTCTAAGCAGCATCGCCTCTAAGCAGCATCGCCTCTAAGCAGCATCGCCTCTAAGCAGCATCGCCTCTAACAGCATCACCTCTAAGCAGCATCGCTCTAAGCAGCATCGCCTCTAAGCAGCATCCTCTAAGCAGCATCGCCTCTAAGCAGCATCGCCTCTAAGCAGCATCGCCTCTAAGCAGCATCGCCTCTAAGCAGCATCGCCTCTAAGAGCATCGCCTCTAAGCAGCATCGCCTCTAAGCAGCATCGCCTCTGCTATGTCTCGCCGCATGGTGATGGACACAAGAACAGCATCAAAAGTTACCGCTAGTATTTGAGGTCAAGGAAGGACGCAAAAGGAACAGTTAATAGAGGCTATCTGGAAGGGGAATCTGGAAGGGGAATCTGGAAGGGGAATCTGGAAGGGGAATCTAAAAAAGAACAGCATCGGATGTTACCTCCATTAGTTGAGTGTAGTAGCTCGAAGGCAGGCTCAGGCAGCGCGGGAAGCTTCCTGGAAGGGGGCCGGAGGAGTGTCGATGAGCTTGGCGCTGATGGTGCTGATAGCAGCAGCGATAGGCGCCGGGCGATGGCCACCCCACGCGGCCAACCTGAAGGGGAAATAGTGGGAAGGGGAGAGGAGGGACGATGTGTTATGCAACGATGGCCCAAGGGCATGGCCCACCCCATGCGCCGCGAACCTGTTGTGCCCCCCCACCCCCCCCCCACCCACTCACCCACCCACCCACCCACCTCACCCACCCACCCAACCCACCCACCTGTGACGTGGAATGGCTTGGAAACGGACGAGTGGTGACGACAGCCCACCCATCTAACCTTCCAAGCACCCACCCACCAACCAAAAAACCATACCACCCACCCACCCCACTCCACCCGACCCGACCCCGCCCCACCCCACCAATCCCCACCCCGCCACCTGTGACGTGGAAAGTTTTGGAACGGAGACAGGTAACGATGCAGCGCTGCTTCATGCCCGGCCAATGAGCGAGCGACATGTGGCGT